CATTTATTTATAAGCACTAAGCGAGAAGATGCCTCCCGTCTCATACGGCAGCGGCCTTGCCAGCTGCGCATGCAGGCAACAGTTGCCGTTAGACGCGGCATTACCAGCTCTCACTATGAGTGTGATTAAAAGAGAGACTAATGCTTAAGTTTTATTTGATGTGCTGTTTGCTGATGCTCATTTGATAGATTTTCTTTTTAAATCTTGCACAAAAGCTTTAACCCATAGAAGGAGACATAGTCCAACCCAACGAGTATATATATTCTTTATCAATATCAGCAGCCTTATCGATATAGCCATTTTCTCCTGTTGGTTTCTAGGAAAACTAGTAGTTTTAAAGTTGTCATCAGGTATATCTTTCTGTTGCAGCCAGGACATGGGTCGAATCAGATCACTATGTCATATTGCTGTTATTTGAATTAGCTGTCGAAAAGTTGGTTGCTGTGTGGAATACTTTTTATTTATCAAGATGTCGCGCAATCGGCATTTAAAGGTTTCAGTATACTCGCCACATATATGTAAGATCTTAACAACATCGGAGGAACGGTCGGTCGAAAAAAAAGTTCTTGTTTAAAAAAGATTTTTCAAATATCTTTACAGAACTTTGGACTTTCTCATTTAACCATGCGTCCCACACATATTAGTTATATCTTATCATCTTCGGACATACAGTATTATATAGCTATATCGGAAGAATTGGTCGAAATATGAGTTTATGTACGAAAAAATAGTATGTATTTTAAGATAGCTTCACCAAACTCAGCAACTACGAGGTTTTCGCAAGTTTATTTAATCGTCAGCGTGTCGAAGAAAGTCGTTCCCTCTTATTTCCTTTGTTATTTTTATAATTTTAACTAAGTGTTGACGCCACCTAGCGGTCAGCTTGGGCAAAAGTCAATTTTACGGCTGGGGCACTACTTTATTAGCATGCAACCACATAACAAATGCAAAAATGTCCAACTGAAAAATGCATTCAACTAGGAAATGAAAAAGAGCACTGTCACTGACAAGGATGCGAGAGAGAGAGGGGAAAGAGAGAGAGAAAGATAGAGAGTGAGATGGGGAAACAGAAGAAAGAGCATTTTGACAGCACGCCATTTGGGCACAAGGCAATTTCCGTCGAGAGCACATGACAAAAATTGTAGAGTATGCCCCGGGACGGATGCGGTGGTGCGGTGGATGCGGTGCTGCGGCCGTACGTTAGGTACGGCAATTCTTTTTGGCCAAACTCTAACAAAAAGTTAAAGGTTTAATTGTGCGCAACGCTTAAAATGCAAGGCTGTACAGGCAGAGGGGGGCAAAGGAAGGGACAGGTTTATGCTGTGAGTGCAACATCTGTGACAAGTTTTATTAAGTTTATTTTATATTTTCGCATTTTGTTGGTGTGCGCAGAGGAGAGGAAAAGGGTTAACGACGTGCTATCACAATTTTGTCGGCTTGCATTGTGTTTGCGTGTGCGAGTTTGTGTGGTCAGCAGGGTAGGGGGATGCTTTGTTGCAACTTTGATAAAATCAAATGTAGATGCTATAAATAGAAGGCTGTGAAGTCGAGGGCATGGGGCGTGCTGGCCTGTCACACACAATTTTTATATGGCAGGTTGGTTACACACACTTGACTGCTCAATGGCCTTTGCAAGCTAGAGTCAGCTTCAGCTGAAGTTGTCGCACGTCGGACAAAGGTCACTTAAAGCGCTTGCATACTCGTAAAACGTTTAAATGAAAGAAAAGCAATGGGTTGCAAGCGCCAGGGGTTGGGCGGTAGGGGAAAGTAGCAAACGGAGCTGGTGGAGCGGCAGGTAATGCATATCATCGAGGGTAGCTCGTCGGGTGTGTAAAATATTTAAGTGCCATCAGTTGCAGTCATACTTTTTTAATTGACTTATCAATAATTCATGCGGAAAACACACACACACACACACACATACACGCGAGGCAGCGGGTTAAAGGGTAAGCTAGAAGGAGACAGAACGTATGCCACACATTCATAAATACAAATGAAGTCAGCGGCTGAGCGCGAACGCGAAAGGTGTGACAAGTGCGAGAGAGTCGAGCTGTTGGCCAGGTCGACGACTTGCCTTGGAATATTTATACACATATGTATGTATGCCTCTGTGCACGCCCTGCCACGCCGGCTGATGCAAGGTAGCAGTCAGGAATGTGCCCATTGTACACGGCAAAAAATTCCATTTTCAATTTAAGCCTTAATAAATTGTTAAAGATTTTTGAATTGCGGCTTTATTTTATTTATTTATATACATATATATATTTTTATTTCATTTATTTATTAATTTTATTATTTTGTAAAATTTTATATCCTGTTGTCCAGTTGCCGTCCTATACCAGTAGACTGCCAAGACTTAATCCTCTTCAAAAATGTTGTTGTGCTTTCTTTTTGACTTGTTTTAACTTAAACGACTGGGAGGTAGGTTGGGCGGGAGGTGGGTTGCATCGGATGAGTGCAAAAAATAAATATTCTGATTTTTGGCCAACCCCAAAATCGTCATAATATCTCATACAGTAGATTCTCAGCAGATTTAATACATCTCATAGATATTATTGCATACGCTTTAGCAAAGGTACGTTAGAATAAAATGCCTGCCTTTGAGTTCGGTTCATGAATCCGGTTTTATTCATCCTTAAACCCAGGTTTTCGTTTCTCATGTGATTACAAAGTTGTAATAAAATAATTCATGTTATAATTTAGATATTTTCATATAGAAGTTGAGGGCTACATTTTATTTCTACCCAGAATTGTCATCCACCAAATGTGGTTACACTAACCCAAGGGTTGGGGCTCAAAATATTAAAGCTTTAGAGCTGAGTCTCAATTAAAAGTTTTTAGAATCAAACCAGAACATTTTTGTTTGGGCAACTGTCTTGGTTCATGGTAAAAAAAAGTCCGGTCTTAAAACTGTTTTGCAGCCTTGCTATTAATATTATGATTTTTGAATATTTTATTGATTATCATTAATCATATGAATGTTGTTATTATGGGTTACATTTATGTTGCAAGTATTTTTTGCAGTGTTCCGGCATTTCGCCCTATATTTAATTTGATTAATTTGAAGCGGCAGCAGAGTTATTTCGGTTTACTGAATTCCTGCTGCAAATATTTTTCATTTTCTTGCTCATCTTTATCTTGTGCTCCACTCTTGGCAATTTCAACTGCAGCCCAAAGTGGAAGCACGTGATTGATGCATTTTTAATGCGCATTTTGGGGCAGCAGTTTAATGCATTACACTAAAGGGGTTGAAGAAGGGATGTGGAGGGCGGTGGCGCGGACAGAGAATTGGGCCAGCAGTGGTTATGGTCTCAATTTTTGTTGTCCATGTTGGTATTGCGCATTCGTTTGAAAAATGCAATTGCGTTGAGCGCCATTATAAAGCCTTTAAATAAATTTCGTTGACATCTCGCGCGCATCACATCATAAATATTTTTCGAGAAACATAATCAGGGCAAAGGTTGAGGACGCAAACAAAAGCAGCGCAGTAGAGCATTATGCATCAAGGATAAAATCAAATTTAACGCATCGCTTCCATTCGTGCAAAGGTTGCCCAAGGAGGAGAGTCTTGTGAATGCGCCTCGCTCGCTGAACGCTTTGAGTTTGGGCTCTGCGCCCTGGGCTCCTTAAAGAAAGGCCACGTAGCACTTGACATGAGCGGAGACAAATACACACACACACACACACATGTACTCACACATGCACTCTTAGTGAGGGGGCTCGCAGGAGGGCGTTTAAGTGTGATTTAGGGCGTGGGTGGGGACCTTGGGCACGAGCCGTCGGATAACGCGCCGTTGCTCAGTGGGAAGTCGCCGCCAAATGAAAAAGAAGCAGCGTGAAAAATGTGTAGCATAAGACAAGGCGCATAATCAAAAGTAAAGCAACCAAAGGCTGGCCGAATCCGCCGGCCGTGCCACCGGCGCCCGCCTCTTCAGCTGCCTGATGCACATGGCCGCTTACATTGGGGGCGCACAGGAGAGCTGCTGCGTTTGGTTTTTGTAACACAATATTTCACCCCGCCGAAAAAAAAGGGGGAGAAAAACAAAAGCCAGTTCACAAAAATTTTACGCCCGAGCTGCCGGTTGATGTAGCGCGCGCAGCTCTACACATGAAAGTGGCATTAGTAATGGGCTAGAGATTAGAATGTCTGTGTGGGTATGCGTGGGTGTGTGTGTCGGGGTGTGTGGGTGGGTGTGCATGGGTGAGTGTGTGGGTGAGTGCTCAAATACACGCACTTGACATTTCAATCTTGATTCTGTTTGCGTACGGCTTATTATCTGCGCTTGGACTCTTACCATACAACTCAAATATTCACCAAATTGCGGCAAATATGTTACGTTACGTCACTGGGGTAATATTTATAGATATTATATTATACATTTCTCATAAATGTATACTTGTTTAATGGGAGAAACAGTTTTATTTGCAATTCTATCAGAGCTAAACGTATTTTTGAAATAATATCTGGTGCTGATTACTTTAAATATTGATAAATATTTTTAAATATTAATATTAATAATATTAAATATTAATCGCCCAACCTGAGGTGCGAACAGGGCTCCGCTGTTGTCAAGTTTCCTTTAACAACGTTTATTTTTCTAAAATAATCAGTTAATAAAAAAGAAGAACGGAAATGTTTGCTTTGGAAGGATTTCTGATTTCAAGTTTCAAACGCAATTCATCACATTTTAAGTGTATTCTCTGTGGTCTCATCCTGCAGATACTTTTTGTTAAATAACAATTGGTTTGATCTCCTTTCCAGTTAACTACCTTTGCGTTGGCAACTCAAAGCTTGGGGGTGAAGCCACTATTTTATTATTAAACAGAAGCTAAAGGTATTTCTTGGCTTCTATCGCATCGCATCGGCTCTACTCGAATTATTTTTTTGATCTCTCGAACAACATTTGACCATAAATCGATTATTTTGATGACTTAGTTGGTAACAACAAACTCGAGTTTTGTCTGCCCTTCTTCCCTAGAAAATGAGTTGTGGCACTTACCTCTTCCTCATTGCTGGCCGTGTTCACGGAGTCCATGCTCTGTGATAGTCCCAGCGGGGCGAGCGCCATCTGATTTTCCATTATGCTGGCGTCTCTGCTGTTGTTGCCGGTTATTGCTGTTGTTGTTGCTGCTGCTGCTGCTGCTGTTGTGTTCGTGTTGTTGTTGTTGCTGTCGCTGGCGACTGTTGCTGCTGTTGCCGCGGCGCTAGCGCTGCCCGCCGGCGAGGGAGTTGTCGGCGCTGAAATGGACGTTGACTCGTGCGACTGTGACTCGTGCGCGGAGCTGCCCGGGGAATTGCTGTTTGTAATGTTGTTGCCTGCTGCGGCTGTTGCTGCTGTGGCAACGCTTAGTGCAGTGGTTGTTCCTGCTTGGGTGTTGCTGGCAACAGTTGCTGCTGATGTGCTGCTATTGCTGCCGCTCTGTTGCTGCTGCTTATTGTTGATGCTATTGCTGCTGCTCAGCACCAAATGCTGATGCTGTGGCGCGTACTGTGCGTGGGCGTGACGCAGCTGATAGCCGCTGTAATGGGAAGGTGTCTGCTGCTGCTGCTGCTGCTGTTGTTGCAGCGCAGCCACGTGCTGCTGCTGTTGCTGATGCGCAGCGGCAGCTGCAACGGCTGAGTGCTGTAGATGCTGATTGAGCAGAGCTGCGGCGGCGGCCGCCTGATTGTACTGCGCCAAACGCTGCTGCTGCTGTTGCTGGTGTGTATGGTTTGCCTGTTGCTGTGAGGCAGCGACTGCGTAGGCGACCTGCTGTTGCTGTTGCTGCTGCTGCTGCTGTTGCTGGTGGTGCGCGGCAACGGCGGCCGCAAACTGTGTGGGATGTGCGAAGCTCAGTTGATGGCCCTTCAGCGCAGCTGCTGCTGCTGCTGCGGCTGCGGCGGCTGCTGCTGCTGCCGGCGAGCTAGCGTACTGCAGATGGGCACCGGGTGCGTTGACTGCTGATGCGGGCACGGGCAGCACAGATACGGCGGCGGCGCACTGGCGCTTGGGCGACGGCGACAACACCTGTGGGGCACTCGCTGGCGTTTGCGGCAGCGTCGGCCTGCGTTTAATCGCAATCGACGAAATGGTGATGGCTTTTTCAAACACTGGCTGCTGGTTTTGTGTGTTGGTATTGGTATTGGTGTTGGTGTTGGGTATTATGGGTGTTGCTGTCGTCAGCGTTGTCGGCGTCGGCGTCGTCGTCACTGCGGGCAGCAGTTGCAGTTGCGGTTCGGCGATGTGGAGCAGATGGTGATGGCTGCCCAACAGGTTCTGATTCTGGTAGTTGGCTATGTTGGCGACTCAGTTAACCTGAAAGAGGGCAATAAGAGAAGGAGTGAACCACATTATTGGTTTGCTGGACAAAAAGTTTAGTTGCTCTTTCGTTAATGCTGTAGAAATATAGTCAAATTTTGCAAATAACATTTCCATTTTGTCAATAATACTTGTAAGTTTATTCAACATAATGCAAATGTTTGCACCCCACACGACGTATGGGTTGGGGTACGTTGGAGAGGGGTACGTAAGAGGCTGCGCCTGAAAACGCTGCATAATTCAAGAGCAAACATGACGACAACTCAATAGAAAATAAAACACAGTGAGCGAAATTCGAGAATCCAAACTTGTTCCAAGCTTCGAGTGGAACAAAGGCAACATTCGAGATGTGCTCGTACCGTTTTGTCAACTGAGTCTGAAATTTCATCAGCTTTATGTGCTGCAACAGGAGACATCATGTTTCGAATTCGACAACCAATTAGCGTGGTGTCGAATTTTTGTAATCTATAAAACGAATCTGGGGACCAGACTGCGACGAACAGACCGCACTTGACCAAGTGAAGTACAAAAGAAATGATTATTAGCGCCAATTTTAAAGCACACAAATTTCCTGAGTTTCCAATTTTCAAACAGACTTTTTGAATCCAACTAATATATTTATATTTAACATTTATTTTTAGTTCATAATTATTGCTCTTCGATCATTTTTATCGATAACATAAACTTGTGCGTTCGATAGTTAAAGTTGAATTCAGTAATCGTATAAGTTGACGAGCGCGAATTAAAAAAGCAGGGCTTCTTTTTTATTATCGATAACATGATATTGTGCATTCGATAATAAACTAAAAACAAGATACGCATATTACTGAACCAGCTCAATTTTTTTTATGTGAGCGAACCAGTTGAATGCATTAAGTGTAAACGTTGACGAGAACGAATTAAAAAAGCAGAGTTCATGAACAAAGAACGCGCCTGTGATAGAATAATGATAAGCAGGAAGGCGCTCGTAGAAAATGAGCAAATGAAAGAGAACACAGACAGCATGCAAATTGTGTAGGTCAGTCCCAGACACGATGCCAACAATTCGCGCTGTGTATTTCAATTCCGTTTGTATTTCGCTTTCGGTTATCGCCAAGAGCCATCGGCAGTAGCCGCAGCTGCTGGCAAACTCCATTGCGCAGTCAAGAAAAGAATCTGAATACAGCTGAATGAGAATAACAGCAACCGCAAAGCAAATAAACAAACGAAAAGACAGACATTCAGACAGCTTGGACACACAGAATGGGAATCGAATACACACACACACACACACACACACACACACGCACAAACATATAAACACATATGCGAAACAACTTGAAAATTGAGCTGACAACAAACCGAAATTGTATTACAAACGGGCGCTCCAAAAATATGCACATAACTAAAGCTATGATCCCAGAGAGATACTATATGTATATGCTGTACATCTGTGTGTACGTATTGTACAATATATGCACATATTTGACTACAATACACAAACAGGGCTATGAATGCGGATTATAATGGCGCCAGGGAAGCACTAAGGACACACGGCGAGCGGCAACAAGCGACTCGAATCTGTCGCCCATCGACGCCCGAGTATTGTATGTGTGTGTGTATCTGTATCTGTGTCTATATCTGTTGGTTGGCGACGTCAAGCATCTTAGTTACGATACATCGACACACTTTGCATACGACAAATTATGCAGACAATAAATACGGGGACGGGGGAATATATAAGTATCCTCTTACACCACCCTCTCTCCTCGCAACTTCCAGTAGCAAAAGCTTGATAGCCCCGAATGTGTTGCTTTTATTTGGGGTGCGGCTATTGGCGACACTTGAGTTAATTGCACACAACGCTTGCTAATCATAATTCAAATTTAAATCGATCAGGCAGGCTTTGGGTGGGTTGTGGGATGAGGAATTAGCTACAAGCAAGGCGTGTTGCCGCGGTGGCAGCTGCTTTAATCCCACAACATTTATAATTAATGGATATGCAAAAACTAACCAGCCAGAAAGAATACACGATACATAATATATGGCAAATATTTAAATAGGCTATTGTGCCAGCGACGCATATTAGATTTATGGCCAAAATGCGAACAATTTTGAATTTAATGTCAGCGGCCAACTGTGCGTATACGCAATATGCATAAATTTCTACTAGCTCTATTCAAATTTAGGTGTCTAACTTGGTCAATTGTTGTAGATTTTGATGCCAAACAATTATCCATTAAATTTAAATACATGAATGCCACATGTTGCAACGGCTGAGGACAAAAAATGTCGTGTTCAATATTAAATATTATATTAAATGCAATCTGCGGTGGTCTGAATCTTATTTTTACTGGAATTTCAGTAGCAACATAAAAGCTGCCTAAGAAAAAACTTCTTGGTTTTCTTGGTTTCAATGCTATATTCTAAGAAAGAGATAATGTAGAACTTACTCTTAACTGCTGAATTATTAGGAAACTGGTCTGAGATAGGCGGGCTCAAACATTATATTTTAAATTTCTTATTGCAGTTGACATTTCCTTTTATAAATGTTAGGGTTTTGTTGTGTCATTTCTAGACAAACCTACAGAAGCAGCTTTTCAGTATAAAAAGTTTTATAAATTGTTAAAAATACATTTGATAATTTATAATAATTTTGCATTTTCAACTGCCTGAATAAGCATATAATTATTAGCTCATGCCAATGTCTATATATATAAATATGTGGTCATCTTAAAGTTTTTATGATCAGATCATTTTCTAATCGCTATTTACAATTCCTTCAGTACTTGCAAACAGCAAAATAAATACATAAATAAATTCCCAGCTAGAAATTGCCAATCTTGTGATATTCCGCAGCACATCTACTTTTTTTCTCTTTCATGCTCTGAAAGTCAAATATTTCGTACGTTTGATTTTATTTGTTGCACTGTCCTCTAATACGGGGTTATGTATGTGCTGTGAAATTTGCACAGCAGCGATAAAGCAACAACAACAAAAATCATGCATTTGCGTTACAAATTCTACCAAACAAAAGCCCTGACAGCAACTATAATGACGCAGCCTTTGTTGTTGTTTATCGTTAGACTGCCATGGAAATTAGTCAGTAGAGACTCAAAAGTACAGCGCAACAAAAGCAACGACAAACAACAACAACAGCCAGCAAAATACTAGTCATAAATATTGCTAATGAATTTCCCGCACGCTTGCTGAGCCACAGCCGCAGCCGCAGCCAGCCAAGTCGCGTCTCTCTAATCGACTTCCATTTTGCATTGTTTCTATAATTTGTATTATTTCTATTTTTTCTCTATATACACATATTTAAACAGAAAAAACCCTGAAACGGAAGTTGGGCGCGTTTTTGTTGGGGCTGGCTACGAAGCAAATATAATTAAATGTAATTTTTATAATGACAAATGCGTTTTATTGTTGTTCCAACCATCAACCGAAACGCGAAACGAAACTCGGAGGCAGCAGCAACAAATGCCACGCCCTAAAAACCTACCAAAATTGGTCGTAAATTGGAGCAATTTTCGATTTCCTTGCTCTCGATTTGAACTTTAAGTTTGGCCTTAAATTTACATTTCTCTGTCGATTTTTGGGAGGTGCGGGGCAATCGGAGAGTTCCCATCGTGGCACATAATTACCTTCACGATTCCTGCCGCTCGAATTGGGTCAATTGGGCGTTGCCACGCCTTCAGCGGCGCTGATTACATGCAAAATGGTCTGGCTGGGCTAGCTGGGCTGTGCTGTAGCTAAATAGATCTATTGTAATAGATACAGTCTGTTGTGTAAAGCAACAGACGCTAATCGATGCACGCCCACGTTCCCATCATAATCATCATCATCATTTTTGTCATCATTATCAGAATGATCATTATGATCATTGTAAAGAGGCGGAAAACGAGTTTCTCAGCTGCTGCTGCTGCTGCTGCTGCCATAAAAATAAAGATGATTTTGGGCCGGCGGATCACTTGTCAGCAGTTTGGCGTCGCACAATTGCCAATTGCAACAGCAACAGCAACTGCAACAACAACAGCTGCATTTGCAACAACAACAACAATTAGCATTGCTAATGGCGGCAGATAAACGCAAGTGCACGTTACGTGTACCCCGCCCACGTGATCTCAGCCTTTGTTATATATGTATATGTAGATGCCCCCCCGCGCATCTTTTGACCCTGCTACAGATACTCGCTCATATCCAAAAGATACCTTGAGTCGTAGCTAGTTTTCTAACTATGACCAAATTCGTCAGCTGGGCTCTGGGTAGAGATGAGCCCGAGCTCGAGCCGGGGCTCCAATGCGCGATGGCATCCGCCCAGTGGCTCCGACAGCACTAGACTACAAAATACTTGAAGTGGTTTTGGCCATAAATGTTGCTTTGTTGTTGTTTTTTGTTGGCATTGTTATTGTTGCTGCGCATCGTATCGTGCTCACTGTTTGTATCATAATTAATATTTAATAAGCCAGACAACTTTTCTTAAAACTGACTTTGATAGACCCAGGCGGCAGATACGTATACATAATACGTTGTGCACAATCATAAAATGGGTATTATAATATGTTAGTCAGCCAGAAAGAAGGGAATCGTCATGACTTGGTTAAAATGTGACCATGGAGGAATGTGGCATATCAAAAGAGAATTGGAAGCATAAGCTTACATTTGTATTTTTGTAAGACTGGAATTGAAGCTTTCGGTTTTACCATAGGCAGGCTTTGCTAAAAAGTACAGGATTACGACAATCTTGTTCCCTTTACTTTAACTTGATGAGAATTGCGACGAAAAAACAGCAAAGCAGGCCAGTTAAAATTCCATTTTCTGCGTATTTAAATAACTTTAGAGCCAAACTTCTTATTTTTGGATGTTTATTTATTGAATTGGTGACCTTTTATTCTGTAAAGGTCCAATTGTCCAATGCGAGTCTGTGTCAGGAAAGAGTCTGAAATAAGGAATAGAAACCTATTCTGAAATGGACATCAAAAGATTCATCTGACATTATAAATATGCCAGAATTATTTAGGCATAAAGATATAAAACTAATTAATATGCTTTTCGAGGAGAATAAACAGAAAAAATGCACAAATAACAGCAAAGAACCTATTCATAAATATTTCTAGCGCATATCTTTAGAAATTTAAGCAAAAATACAATCGATGCAAAAATCTTTTCAATCTCTACACATACGTGTACAACCTGATATCAATTTGAGCCAAAAATGAAGAGCTTCTGAAGTGTATTCAAGTTTCGGCTCGTTGGCCACAAAGCATATTTTCATTTCGAGCTATTTTTGTATGGTATTTTATTTTGACTGTCTTTACTATGAAACATACAGCATGAAGGGGGCTGGTAGCTCAGCTCAGTTGAGCTCAGCTCGGTTTGCGTTGCCATGCTTATGTGTGCATATTAAATACAATGCTCAAGAAACATATTTTTTTTTATAACTTGGCATGCTCCAATTCGTTGGCGCAAGGCGGTGGCAGTGCCAGATATAGACACACGGCAGGCAGCAGCTCTTGGTGGTCTCCATTTGCTGGGACTGCCAGCCATTCGAAATGATGGCAACTGCGAGTACGTACTAGCACGAGTATCTTGTATCTGCAAGATAGTTAGTTTTGCGTTTTGCTAGCAAAAGTTCTCTCAACGTGACTTGCCTGCTGGCGGCGCTTGCTCTTTGGCGCTGCCTTCCCTCCCACCTACCCCTAAGCTCCTGTTTAGTTTGAGCATTTTTTGAAAATTACAAAATCCATTAAGTTGCTTGCACGCAACTTAAACATAAATCCATCATACGCCATGTAGCGCACACACAGACACATGCACAGACACACGCACACATTTGGTGAGGGTAGTAGCCACGCCCAGCCGCCTCCCCGTTAGCTGCTGGTTTTTATTATCCACGGCATATTCAATGCACAAACATTCAGACACTCGACTAGGTAAGTAGGTTGGGCCCCCGTCTTCGTCTTCTTCTACGTCCACGTCTTCAACTCAACCTCCATCTTCTTCGTCTTGGTCTTTCGCGTCTTGCAGGGCTTTCTATTTAATTTCCCAGCTAGCTGGCAAACTTCTGGGCTCAATCAGCCATCGACTTTGACTTTTTGTGCCGGCAGACAGCATATCATTTTTTTCTCACTTTTTTTTTCATTTGATACTTTCAAATTTCCAGCATGCAATCAATAAATGTTGGTTCAGTTCGTGTTTACTGTTTGCCATTGTGAATGTCAATCTCATTTAATGCACTTCCGTTTGCCTAATGGATATTTGCGGATCATTCGCGTACATAGACATATGTATATGCAGAACTAATATGCACCAATTGTGTGATAATAAAAATTGCAATTCCCTAATCAAATTTGTCACCCACTCTCGATAATCAGCTCAACTGAAATCTGAACTATTGCGACCTGAAATTTTTGCAAACATCACCAGCGTTTAATTACATTAAACGCACCAGTTTATCAGCGACTTATCTGGCAACAACTGATAGCGACAATGAGCGTAGTCAGGTCGAGAGTGCGCCCATAAATCGTGCATCCGAAAGATACTCACACACACACACACACAGATGGACCTACACATTGAAATAGAGATTGTTAGATAGACGTGCTCACTCACGGCAATTGTGGCCATTAATGTAATAGACGTCGACCGAAAAGAATAGGCGGGCAGCCAGTTACCAGTCGAGATGTGAAAGATGTGAAAATGTAAAACTCATGCACAGATTGAATACAAGATTTGGCTCACTCACAACGTTGAGAACTGTGTGCGAAACTAGTTCAAAAGTTCAAGCGAACACTGACTGAGCGTTAGATGGAAGCTAAAGCAAAAGTTGGAGCTGGAGCTGGAGCTGGAGCGTTTGCCCTGCGTGGCACGATCTGTTGCCCAGAGAAAGGTAGCCCAAATGGTGCTTGAGAATACCCTATAGCCGTTAGCTAAATGGGGTATCTCGCAGATGTTGCCATGTTATGTCAAATTTTATTTATCTCAATGCTAATAAGCTGTAAGCCATAAAATATGAAGATGCCGAACTACTTCCTACAGGGTATTTTAGGGTCGTGCCAACTCTTGTTTTTCTTCATGTATGCTAATGATCTGTTAGCTGTACTACCTGTATAATGCATATGTATGTGATTGAGAGCTTTTGCATCCGTAGAGTATAGCGAAGTCTACCAATCCAACAGAAAGTTCTGCCATTATAAACCTATGTTTCATATACACTTAGTATAATCCCTCTGTCGATTTATTCTAAGCCATCATTGATTTATTATAGATTGCCTCGTTGGTTTTACAGGGTACATCGTTATTTATTATATATAATTAATAATTAAAGCGGATTTCTTGTTTAAGCTAAAGAACTATTGACTGTTAATAACTAAATGATGCTCTGTCAACGGGACGTTTTTTTACAGGGTACATTCGAGTCGTTCATTTGTTTGTTTTTGATTTCTTATAAGCTTGTTAATGATATTAGTTTAAGCATACGTAAGGCATGCTCGCATGCTAAAGACTGATGCATAGCCACAGGGTATATGACAGTTCAGCAATTTCTCTCTTCCAACTTTTGCTTTTCTGTTGGGTTGGCTAAAAATAGCCATAGAGCTCAATGGCAATCATAATAAGCTTGGCCCAATCGAGTTTCGAGTGTTTTGGTGTGGAGAGTCGCATCCACAGAGCGCTACTTCAATCAGCCTTCGTAAGCTGCCATCGAATCGGGCATCGTTTCAATTGTTGCTTTGTGGTTTACATTGTTATCGTATCCAGCATGCAACCACATTTGGCATGCTTTCCAATGGCCTCTCACATCAAGTACTCGGCTAGTTACGTATATAAACCATATAGACCAAATAGACCGCACGTTTGATGTACGTGTACATATATTTCGTTGCTGAAATGTAGTTGATATTGTCATTGATTTCCGTTTATATCATAGGCAACAAAAACAAAAAACAACAGATAGGACCAGACCACAATCAAAGTACAGCCAAATGACAAATCATCAGCATCAATGTCAAAGTCAGCGTCAACGAAACAATTCAAATAGCTTTCTGTCAGTCTCTATACTTTATACTCTATACTAGAGGAGATATGATATGGCACCTCTTGACTGCGAGCTGCCATTAAATTCAGTGAGGTCCATTAGCATTTGCAATTAATTTTCATTTCTGGCAAATTTGTGCAAATTTCAAAGCACTGGCAAATATCAGAATAATATACGCCAGCTTAGCTCTGCCATAGGCATGAATATCTACAATGTGTTTCAGTCTCTCTCTCTCTCTCCATTTCCCTCCCGTCTCTCCCTCTCTCTCTATTATTTTTTATTGCTTCAACCGAGATTAATTAACGTTAATTTTGCATAATTAAAGCGTCAGCCACAGAGAGAGACAGAGAGAAAGGCCAGCAGCTCAACAGCTTTGGAAAGTAGTTCAGAGGGGGTCGAGTTCATAATCTTTGACAAGGGAAACTGGTTGGGTTCACATTTTAGATACTCTCTCAGGTTCAGTGTCAAGGGTCGTGCCACTCATTTTCAATTAAAACTCTTGTAATGCCGCATGGAAATGCTTTATGGCCACAGCTTTACTTCTATTTCTATTTCTGTTTTTTTTTTTGTTGACATGAAAAAGCTTCTTGAATAACTCATTCTATGTAACTTGTTGGTAATTCTCAGTGGGCCAGTAAATCTGCATGCAATTAAAATTGCAAAAGCCCAAAATCTCGTTGCCCAAAATGAAGGCCCAATGTCACAGAGTCAACTACAACAACAAGCTGTCAGCTGCTCAATTATTTGCATAAACAGAAGGTCCAAATGACAACAACAACCACAACAAGTGCAAGAAGAAGAGAACAATCTATCTATTCAACAGAGCAACAACAACCGCAGGGCCTGTGTCTAAGTTGTGTTCAGCATTTTGAGGTTGGCCCCCGAACCCATTTCTTATATTTCATTTTATTATATGCAAAGAGTAAAATAAATTACTCATGAGCTCAGATTGTGGATTGAACAGCAATTATTTTGAGCAAGAGTTAATGGAAATATTTCAAGATATTTCGCCAAAGAATTTTCCCAGAAAAATATGATTGAATCGTCGTCTCAAAGGTTGTTTGAAGTTGAATATCTGATAGATTAAAGCATATTTCCAAATAGAATTCCAATCTTTTTGGCCAAAGAAAATTAATTTTTGCTATTCCTATTTTCATTAAGAGTTTTCCCAATTTCTCTGTTTACTGTGGACCACAGAAATGCATGCGACAGGCAATATGGCAAACTGTTTATTGAATTTCGTAGCCACAAAAGGATTTTGAGATGTGCAAATAAATTTTGACAAATACCAAAAAATCAAATACCTGAGACAGACAGTTCAAATGGCCAAGCTAAAAGACATCAATATCAACTCAATTTGTGGTTAATACTTGATAATAATTTAAAATATTTTTTAAAATATCAGTCAAATGAAAAGAGCAATTTCTGAACAAACTCAGCTCAAGTAGCAGTCATTAAATACATGTAGGAGGCTGTGTAAATTGCGTCAAATAAAGCGCAAAACGCGCGTGTCTGTTTTTTCTCTCTTTTTTATACCCTATCAGAGGGTCGTATTTAGTTCTGGCATGGTAATCATTTAACCCACCAAATAAGTCATTTAACCGTTTTGGATGTTGTCTCCTACTATGCTAACCAATTCCACAATTTGGAGCTATCTAAATGCAACTCTTAAGAGGTAATGAGAAAAATTCACTTGAAAAGTCTGGCAACGTAGGTAAAACTTTTGTGCATATGATGGGAAATTGAGAATTAAATATTCGAGCAAATATATAGAAAACATCGCTTAATAATATGATACATTTGTATGAAAATATCTGTTTAACTATTTAAAATGAACTGGTTTGAATCCGGAATGCCAATGTACTGAACCGAGCCCTAAATCGGTTACGTTGAATAAAAAACAGCGAAACGTAAAACTTAACCGAACCAAATTTAAAAAAAAAACACTTCGTTTAAAGAACTTCTTTTCGCCTGTTCCATTGAAATGAAAGTATAGCATATTATGCGATTGCCTGGAAGAGCATTTAATCTTCGACATTAACGAGGGGTTGCTCGCAGTTTTCTTGTTTTTATTTTTATTAAGTTTTCGTACTCGTAGTTCATTCCGGATTGGCCCCTCCATTCATTCTGGAGTATGATGTCATTAATTAATGTGAATGAGTTCAGTATGATGTCAATTAGCTGCGGAAAGCGCACTTGACGGCGCTGCACTGCACAGTTTGTTGTAAAACTCGTTGCTGATGTTTTTTTAAGATACAACCATACACACACACACACATACAAACATACATACACATACACAAAAAGGCACACGCAATGGTCATATTTTATGAGCATTTCCAATTGAGAGGCC